AGTGATACCACGGCCTTACAGAAAACCGACGTGAAGCAATGCTTGCGTTGTATTTCGTCGTGTGATTGAGGTTAACGGAGGCCCAATTACCCTCCCCTTACCCAATCTCCCCAATTACTGAATCTCCAAAGATCCTCAAACTCCTAATCCCTAAAAGGCCGGTAACGCACTTGTAACGCCTCTGGTGTTCCAGGTGTCCATGGGCGACGACGATTGCTTACCATCAGGTGATCCGTCTGGTCGTTTACCGGCTTATGCCATAAAAAAAAATAAAGAACGACCTTAATGCAATACGGACTTCCATATGACCTACAACTGTTATTTTTAATAATACTTTGCCCGACCCGGGAATTGAACCCGAGACCCCTTGCCCGGCAGTCGCACTTGCGACCACTCGGCCAAATATAATTTAACTACCCTTAAACACTACAAAAGCACTGAAAACAGCGATCAATACTACAATACTCCCACAGTACCCACACACTCAATATATCTAATGTAGGTACCTATAGTTATAAATATTAATGAACGTAATCACACGTCATCAATCACACTGAGTGATATGATCATATATGTATATAATAGTATATAATATATAATAATAAGCACTTTCACCGAAAGAGGTAATGATTGATGGATATTTTTAGTGCCATAGTTATCAGTTTTTTGATGGGGGATTTATAGGGAAATTGTAATTGTGGTTGGTGAACTATGGAGCTGGTAGTCTACAGGGTTTTTTACAGGATAGAGGTCATACAAGCAGATGGGGTAACCACTAGTCAGCGATTTTGTTATGGGAATATAACATTTCATAACATCACGCCTTTTATCCCCAAAGAAGACAGAGGTGCTTAATGTCACTGTACAATGTAACACCCGCTTTTCACTATTTATGTTATGAGTACCAAGAAATATGTGGTGAGCCTATTGCTATATACGGGGCTCATTATGGGAATATGGTAAAAAGCAAGTCCTTCGTTGAGTGAGTGGTCATCACAGACTAGTAGGTAAGGGTCTAGGGTTCACAGATGGGGCCACAGATATATTAAAGATGGGGCCCTATAGGGTTGATACCCAATACGGAGCTGTGGAAGGCCTAACGGATTGCTGGGGCTCCGGCTCGAAGAGCAGGAGTACGAACGGGCGGTTTTTAGTCAGTCTGAAAAAAACCAGGGTCTTGGGTTGTATGATAGTACTGATTTTACACAGTACAAAGTGGCTTTTAATTACATCGAAAATATATAACTTTGATCTGCTAAGTATTTAAATTATGTAATGAAGATAGTAATAATCGCTTAGAAACACGCTTTTATCTTAATATGATAATTGGAAGAAATTTTAAAGTCTACTACCTAACATGATATTTTTTAGTTTACAACACAATCATAATAAGAATATAAAATACAAAACATGCATTGTCAATAACAAAAAAAAATTGTATGGGTACAAAAATAACCCATCCTAGCAGTTGACTGTTAAAACTTGGCAACATGCCAGACGTTTTGATTGGGAAGAACAATTTCACAACTTCTGTCGCCAACGTCCATACCATGTTGAAAACACCGGTTCTCGTCCGATCACCGAAGTTAAGCAACATCGGGCGCGGTTAGTACTTGGATGGGTGACCGCCTGGGAATACCGCGTGACGTTGGCCTTTTGCTTTTATTAGTCTATTAAGATATTGTAAACATTTAAAATTCAAAAACAACTATTTAAATTAAATTTACTTTTTGTAACCCCATATTAAAAGAAATTATTGGTCATGAAGACCTCATCGCCTCAATAACAGTATGATCAATTCTATCAAACATAACATCACGCCTTTTATACGCGAAAGCGTAGGCAGAGTGCACATTATGGCACATAATGCCACTGTACAATGTAACACCCACTTTTCACTATTTATGATATGAGTTCCATGTAATAGCCTATTGGCAATAGGCTCACCCCCTATTACATGGAACTACATATTTCATAATGCCTAGATAACCAACTATGTAATATTATTACAAAATGAATAATGTAGAACTCAATTTGTATAAACTTACCTCATAACTTTATCAATTACCTACTTATGTAAAGGTTCTGCGTTTTCAGTTCAGAAAGGTAAAGATATCCCTGCATTCTCAAATTAAAAGGACACAAGACCAACCTACGATAACAATGTATAATGAACAACAAAAAATATTATATGGGTATAAAAATAAACCATCGTGGCATTTGAGTATTAAATTTTGGACACCCGCCAACCTTTTTGGTACGGAAGAGTTATTTCAGCTCAGTTATCGCCAACGTCCATACCATGTTGAAAACACCGGTTCTCGTCCGATCACCGAAGTTAAGCAACATCGGGCGCGGTTAGTACTTGGATGGGTGACCGCCTGGGAATACCGCGTGACGTTGGCTTTTTGTTGTTTTATAATTACAGTTTCTTGTTTAGATTTTTCACCTATAGGCAGGTTTTTTTAATGAAAAATCTATATAATCATTCCTTATCAAACATTTACGTTATGCTACAATAGTCTTTTTTTATTAAGTACGGAAAATCTTCAAATGACTTCTCCCGCCTGGGTGAGGCGGGAGAGAGTGTCAGACTCTTACTGCCTCTAACCACCCGTCCCTACTCCTGCCCTTTAAGCCGGAGCCTTGGCAACCCTTTAAGTCCTCCGCGGCTCCGTATGCTACAATAGTCTAAGAATATTATATGTTAAAAATCACCCCGGATCTATTTTGAATATTCTCCTGAATTTTATTGAAAAACAAAAAATAAATAAATAAATATACTACACCTGTAGGTACTCATAAACATATTATACTACACCTCAGCAGTAATAGTATTTGTAATTAAAAGGACCTCTTAATTTTCGGTACGTATGAAAAAATTATCCGTTGCATAAATTCGCTGTACTCTGCGGTTTCTCAGCCATAAGGCGTCTAACAATTTTAACAACCCATTACTATCGACATACTGTTACACCGAAGTGTCACTGATTGAGCACTTTTTTTTAAATGGGACAAGCCCGCCACAACCTCCCAAAACCGCTGCAACTCCTGCAAGCCAGGACCTATACAGTAGATACAACCATGAAAACACCGGAACACTGAAGTCCGGCGCGTCCCAGGGACATGAATAACTACTGTCTTGGTTCCCGCGACGAAGTGAATACGATTAAGCACTTTGTTCACTATAGCTACTAAACTACATATATTAAGTATCTTGACATCACTTCTCTTTGTCACATATACATGGATATGAACCAATCACCATTCATCAGGCCGCATTTGAAACTACGTCCTACCAAAATATCGCGAACCTGTAGCCATACACCGGGCAACATAATGAACCGTCCTTCTGCTTACTAAACCGAAATTACTCAATAATACTTTGAACCGACCCGAGAACGAAGAATCGAACCTGAAATCGATAATTACCATCAAACAACCAAAGAACTTTTTCTCCCAAAATTAATAACACATAACACAACATCACGCATTTTAACCTCGAAGGCAGAGGCAGAGGTGCACATTACGTGCAGGCATTTAATGCCACTGTACAACATAACAACCACTTTTTATTATTTACGTTATGAGTCCCATGTAATAGCTTATTGCTACTACTAAGAAAAAAAAACAGTAATACTTTGCCCGACCCCTGAATCGAACCCGAGACCCCTTGCCCGGCAGTCGCACTTGCAACCACTCGGCCACCGAGGCAATCCCAAAATAAATCTTATCCAATTAATTAACGAACAACACGCAACGGTGTGACAAACAGAAACTCTAAAGCTCTTTCAACTTAGTTACCACTAGATTAACCAATGGATTACTTGTCTTAATTTGTTAGTGGCAAAGGTCAAATTTGCTTGAAAAAGAGAACTGCAGAATATTCACAATTATAAAATACAGGGTGTAATGTGTTTATTATGTCATTTTTGGTGTTTCTCGGAGAATTGTTTATGAAACCACTATACGCATATAAAGTCATTTTGATGGATTTTTTTAAATTTCTTGTTAATAAGATTGCATCATTACAATGTAACTTATTACTGTTGTACTCTTCGTTAGCTTTTGCCGATCATATTGTGCACGTTTATAATCTTTTCCCATTTAATACAAATTGAGAGAAATCATTATTTTAACACCCTACAAAATACACCTTTGATGATCATCTCATTATAACGTGATCACCATCTCATGACATCACACCTAGACCCGAAACAACAATTTGTGGATCGCACAAAGATTTGTTCCAGATTCCAAGAAGAACTTTGCGGGGCAGCCGGCCGCCGTGCAACGTGTAGCGGGTTCGATCGTATGTGTATCCGTCGTAGAAATTGTCGCTCCTTCAAGGCCTTCTGAGAGTGAGGACCCTGGGCGGTAAAGCCTGGCTTTAGGCCACCGGTATTGACCACCAGATGATCCGGCTATTCATTTGTAAAGTAGAATCTGCATCAAATTCGGTCTAGGCCTTTTCGAGATTAACATTGAGAATCAGTAAAATTTAATTTCAATTAAGTATAAAATTAATAAATACAATAAATAATTTAACAGCATATTCGAAACAGAATAGATGAAAAAAACGTACTTGTATATTATTAATTGATCCCAGAAGTAGGTACCAACAATCTGCTTACGTGACATATGACATCACACCATGCGTTGCCTGTAACCTCAAGGGAGAAAAGTCAATTAAAATATATCACACAAGTTTAATTTGTTGCCGTTACTGCACCACAGTCATATCGTCAGTTTTGTGAGTCTTAATTATGTGGACATAACATCACGCCTTTTAATCCCCAAGAGGTTAAACAGGGTTGGCTATTACGGTACACTTACCTGCTTTGCTTGTCAGTTGGATTATAAATTCGAAACTACAGGTTTAACTTAAGGTACAGTGTATAATTACAATAAAGGAAATTTTTTTACATCGATAGTCTATGTGCGTGAGATGTTATTTGACATGACGTGTCATGTGTCGCCACTCGCCACATGCTCAATAGATTCACCCCCTGTTTTTTTCTTTTTTTTTTTCTTTTTGGTAACGGAGTCTCCAGTACAGTGTTGTCGACTATACTGCCAGTGTCGAGTGGCGACGGCAGATTATTGGGCCGTCGAACTAAACTTTGTGGTAGTTTTAGTTGTTAATAAAGTTATATTTTAATATTATTTTTATTATTTTAAATTTGGACAAACCCTTAATTAATTTATTAGTAAAATTACTTAGAAAGGAATGGAAGTTGGTTGGAAGAGATTCACCCCCTATTATATGGGATACATAATAAACTGGTACAATTGGGTACTTGCCATAATCAAAAATAAATTCTTTTGACTGTTCAATACAATATAATATTAAAAAATAATCACAATTTATTTATCCAGCATTAAAGAAAAAATAAGTATGCTGTTTGACGTTAAAAAAGTGACGTCACAATATACAATCTCGTACAAAATTCATAAAAACCGTCGTTTTTGACAGTTCGAAAAAAGTATTGAATTTGACTAGTTAGCCATTACCCAATAGTAAGATTTGAATTGAATCGTAATTGGTGTATATGCAATTTAAATCTTACAAACAATTATAGCCTCCATGTATACTATATGAAAATTAACATCTAAATGCATTCAACTTCAGTATAGAGCTACAATTTCCTTCCTCGGTGCAGCTGAACTTTACAACCGCGGTCGTTCTCGCCCAAATTATGCCATCGCTAACTAACTTGCGTAATTAGAATACCAATATGATGCAATTATGGAGATAATTTATTAGCAGTAGCAATTATTAATTTAATGTCACGCTTTTGTAGCTCAGAAGGGATAGGCAGAAGACCACTTTTCCCCGGTTATGTATATTTTTTTATGGTATAATCCGGTAAAGTAGCAAACGGATCACCATGGTAAGCAATCGGCGTCGCCCATGGACACCTGGAACACTAAAGGCGTTACAAGTGCGTTTTCGGCTTTTTGGGGATTAGGAGTTTTAGGAGCGTTGAGGATTCAGGGATTGGGGAGATTGGGGAAGGGGTGAGTAATTGGGCCTCCGGTAACCACACTCACACGACGAAATACAACGCAAGCGTTGCGTCACGTCGGTTTTCTGTGTGGCCGTCGTATCACTCCGGTCAAGCCGGCCCATTCGTGCCGAAGCATGGCTCTCCCACACTTATATATATGAGTGCTGTATATTGCCATCCATAAGGTATATTTTAGATTATGTGTAATTATAGACGAATTACTTAAGTACCTAAAATGTCCAAAAACACTGCTCGACCCCAAAATCGAACCAAAACAGACCCATTGCCGAGACGATACGACCGTCAAAAAAGAGAGAGAGCAGGTATTCTTTTTAAAAGGCTGGCAACGCACCTGTGCCTCCTCTGGTGTTGCGGGTATCCATTGGCGGCGCTGATCGCTTACCATCAGGTGATTCGTCTGCTCGTTGTCTTTCCACTTCATGAAAAATGTTGCTCGTTATTCGGTATTTGGACCTATCGATCAACGATGATACCATTTATAAAAAAATATTTTTTTTGTTAATCTACACGTATGCAATATTTGCTACCAATTAGTTTGATTTGATGTTCCAGTGGTCCATGAAAATGGATGTTTTTATATGGAAATGGTTAGATAACTATTTGTTTTAACAATAATACTAGTAATCAAATATCAGCTCGCATGGGTTCACTTTCAGCTGGTTACGTGACACGCCTCGTTTTGGTTTGATTAACAAGCACTCTGTATTTTATATAAGCCAGTTTCAACTGGAATTTTGATCTTAGTCGCACTTTATCGTCAAATATCGTGAATAGTTAGAACTATTCTGGCAATAACGTTCTCCATCGTAGACCGCATCATAGCATACCACCAGGCGAGACAGTGGTCAAACAAAAAAAATAGACTGCGTGCAGTCTATTGTTCAGTTGCGTGGCAGCCGGTTGGCTTTCACGCAATGTGTAGCGGGTTCGATTCCTGCACGGAGCAACAATATGTGTGATCCACAAAATGTTGTTCAGGGTCTGGGTGTGATGTGTATGTGAACTTGTATGTTTACGCACCCACGAATAAGAATAAGAACGTTTATTTGCACGAAGTATGGTAATTACAGGTAATAATAATTATAAAAGAATAGTTCCACATACATCAGCTACTGTTTTCGGCATGCAAAGTTAAATTTTACAATATAATAAAGTTAAAATGTTGCATTTAATAAAACTGATAACAAAAATGCTTACAACTAGGATAACTAGGATAGATAACAACAGAACAACGGATAGAGAACAACTAGGATAAATAACGACACAAGAGAACATTCTAGTGTGGGGCAACGTTTAAAAAAAAACAAACTAAAAACAATTAACACAAAAACAAATTCAGCTCCACGTTCATCTGTGAACAATGCGTCCTATTCCATAACTGCAGAGATGAAGGATCCTTGAAATATTCGCTATTTTATAGTTGAAATCTGACACGAGACGGAACACTGAGCTTGACTAATTGGAGTGTTTTGAAGTACCAGTACCAGGGCACCATATGTAGCAGCTGTATAGTGTGTCCTAGTACCATTTTGTACAAGACTTTGTGATTTGGTGTAGTCAATTGTTTTAAGTCTGATTCTGACGAGGATGGCGCAGTAAGTTTTGTAGGTACTCTGTTTTTGAAGACAAGAGTGTCGTGGTGTATTTTCTTGGTGGTGTTATACTGGTTAATGTGTTTTTAACAATGATATAACAACTTGTTCGTGAAGCGTGGCTTCTCATACAATACTTATAATAGATATTTGCTAACCCAAACACTTGGCGTAATACCTATTAGATTCCATAACAATTGAAACAATTTTGAACTGGAAACTCCAACAATACCTACCTACCTAACCTACCTACTTCAACCGAAGCTAACAAGCTTCATAAAGCAAGCTACATATACATAAAGAAAAGAGCGTTCCTTATTTAAAGGCCGGCAACGCACCTGTGACTCCTCTGGTGTTGCGGGTGTCCATGGGCGGCGCTGATCGCTTACCATCAGGTCATCCGTCTGCCCGTCTGCTCGTTTGCCTCCTATTCCATAAAAAAGTGAATGCCCTGCAGCAACTCTCAAGACCTACCAGCTAAGATCTAACAACCAAACCACTTTGATAACGAAGCAATACCTACTGATGCTCTTGCCTTGATAATTGATAATCTTGATAAGTAAACCTGGTTAAACTGTAGAAAATTAACCCTTTGAGTACCGTCATTATAGACACAATTAAAAAACAATAGTTTGCGGTCACCGGTGATTGCGCGGTGTTTGACAGTTTAAGTCGTTTAATAAATCAATCTATATAAACAAAAATGAATGTCCGTTCATTCGTCTCGCTAAAACTAGAGAACGGCTGAACCGATTTGGTCTAGAAATGTTTGTGAAAGTCCAGAGAAGGTTTAAAAAGTGAGAAGAAATGTTTTTAGACGGTATGAAGGTTAAGAAAGATAGTAGGTACTTAATATTAAAATGACCTATGGGCACTCTTGTACGATCAATTGGGAACTGAACTAATAAGTAAAGCGTTGAAGTTTTCTCCCGTTCCCGTAGAATTTTCAGTACTTTTTCTGTCTTAAGAACCTTCTCCTAATAATAACAAATACAACAAAAAAAGAATTAGTGAAATCGGTCCAGCCATTCACGCGTGATGCCATGACCAAAGGAAAAAGGGATTCATTTTTATATATGTATACACTAGCAGACCCAACAGACGTTGTCCTACATATCCACTTGAATGTATAAACAAAAATTCATTCAAATTAGTTCAACCGTTTAGGATAACTAACCTAGACACGACTAGCGCTATCGATTTGTGAATCTAAACCATCCAGGGCGCCACTCAAACGCGTATAGAAAAAATAATTTAAATCGGTCCGTTTAGGAGGAGTTCAATGACATACACACGTACAGCAAAATTATATATATAAAGTTATTATATAGATGTACTTTGTATACCTACTATCATTGTAGCTTTCATTCGACCTTCAAAAGCCCCCAAAAACATCTACCTCCCACATAACGTCCTAGAAACTCCATAACGATTACGAAATCCCATCACACACTTACACAAAATACCTTACGAGTGACTTCAAACAATTCGCTTATGAGAGCAGGCACACCTCTAATACGAATTAGGTAGACCAGTCCGTCTGTTCTAATTGGAACACGGAACACCTCTATTCCGAGTGTCGAATGCACGCACGGTGACATACAGCTGTGAATATTAAACAACTGGCCAGTATTGTTTTTGGTACGTTTTACTTTTTTTGTTCAGTTGTTTGGAAGCGATTGTTTTTTTGTTTTGTTATGGTGATATTTATATAGATTGCATAATAATATGTATAACATTGGATTGGGATTTTTTTCAGTCAATAGTGCAATAAGTTAAGTCAGTATGAAAAACATTAAGTAGCCTTTTTTACTCTAAAAATGCAAAATTCTCAAAGAGCCCTCACGCCTGTGGTAAACAAAGAGGACTATCAGATTCATACATTTTTTTTTCTTAATTGACAAGCCCGCCACAGCCTCCCAAAACCGCTGCAACTCCTGTGAGCCAGGATCTACAGTAGATACAACCATGAAAACACCAGATCACTGAAGTCCGGCGCGTCCCAGGGACATGATGAGTAACTGTCTTGGTTCCCGCCACGGAATATCTATATTCCGTGTCGGGAACCAAGACAGTTTCAGTGACGCCACGGAATATAGATATTCCGTGGTTCCCGCAACGAAGTGAATCCGAAGATATTATAAGAGGAGAAGAAGAAAAAACTATGGTTTTCACTTCCCTCGGTGAATTACTGCAGGAGACAGAATGAAGATTCATACTTATCAAAAATCACTTAAAAAAACCTATAATACGTCTCATTATACGATTAATGATGGATTCTTATTTGCTAGCTAGAATAAATAGCACTATGGCACAGCAGAGGCCAATTTTATATGCATTTTGGTACCTAAGGGGTCAAGCTAATAATGTCAGCGGACGTAGGGATTATAAAGTTCAACATAACTGCGAGGTAAACGTTCACTATTGGAGTTCCAACTCATATTTTTGTTTTATATTTAACGTAGGTATCGCCAACATTTTTGACCACTTGCTTTTGGAGACAGATTATATATATTTTTTTTATGGGATAAGCCGGTAAATAAGAAGATGGATCACCAGATGGTAAGTAATCGGTGTCGCCCATGGACACTTGGAACACCAGCATCGTTACTACTGCGTTACCGGCAGGGACTCGGGTTCGATTCCCGGGTCGATCAAAGTATCAACGAGCTTTTTTAAAAATTCTCAGTTGAAGCACGGAGTCTGGAATTGTGCCCGGTATATGGCAATAGGCTCACCCCCTATTACATGGGACTCTAGTGAAAAGTGGGTGTTACACTAAGGCATTAAGTGCCGTAATGTGCACCTCTGCGTACCACTTCGGGGATAAAAGGCGAAGTTGAAGTAAACTCAATAAACAATACACGTAACACTTCAACGCTAACAATCACGGCATCTGTAAACACAATACAAACTGAAAGAAACAAAAAGTAATTACTTCGCTGCCTTACAATAATACCTACTTGAAAACGAAGGACAGAGGCCGAGCAAAGAATTAATTTTAACTAGAACAAGTTTGAATAACTATGAAACTAATCTGTGAGACTTCTGTGAGACTTCTGTGAGACAATAGCACTTTATGCCTTTAAAGCCGGTCGCAATCAAAGTAAATATGACTTAAATGCCGTTTGGAATGTTTTGCTAGAAACTAGTTTATTGTTTTAAGTGTCTGTGGGGTGGTTGGAAAATTAAAGTTTAGGGATTTTAGTTATTTGGTTTGAATCTGTATTCTGATATGTTATACATGGGAATTTGACAAAGATAATGTATTAACTAAAAATCGCGGGTTTCTCACGTGAATATATTGAGAAAAGCTCTACTAGTTTCGATCCATATGGGGGTCTTCCTCATGAGCAGCGTGTACGGTTGCGGCGATTTCGCGCAGCCTACGATCTAAGTTAGTATATTTCACAATATAGGTAGTTATTATAATAACATTACTTATTGTTGTTTTTTAAACACATTGCCCCGCAATAAGATTTTTTCCCGTGTCGTGTATTTACAAACATACAATTTCATATATACAACACACCCAGACCTAAATACCAATTTGTGGATCACACAAATAGTTTCTTCGTGCAGGAATCGATCCCGTTACATATTGTGCGGCAGTTGGTTGCCCAGTCACTGCGTCAACCATGCAGTCAACGAGTTTTTAGTCCTTGAAGAACACACCACAGAAAAAATAAACTCCTTCCCTGCCTGATACTCTGGTACTTTCAAAACAAGTTGGAAGCTTAAGATCTGTCCCAGGACCAGTTGTATTTTTATACTTGTATACAGTCTGTAGTTACAATAAACAGGGTGGTTACGTTGATTCGTCCCCCTCCCCTTCACCCCGCGTAATTTCCTGCACCTCCCCCCCCCCCTTCACAGCTTACAGTCTTCCTGTGTGGTTGTAGGACTAGGTGTGAGTTGTAGCTGAGCGAGAAGCGGGAGCGATTAATTTATTATTTTAGGAGTTGATTCTGATAAATGGTTTTGTTTTTTTAACCGACTTCAAAAAAAGGAGGAGGTTCTCAATTCGACCGTATATATGCTTTTTTTATGTTTGTTCGCCGTTATCTCCGTTTCGGCACCGAATTCTAACCTATCAGTGGGTGTGTAAGCTATAAGTACGTATGACCACTAATAGTTATTTTTTTTCCTTTTTAGTTTTTACTTTTTGTTTGTTTTTGAAGTCGGTTTTTTTAAACGCAGTTTTTTAATTTTTTTATGTTTTAAATTTTTATTTTTTGAACGTTTCCCCACACTTGGGTTTAGAAGAAGACTGCCTGGGTCCTGTGTCGTGGGTGCGTTTACAAACATACAATTTCATAAACATATCACATCCAGACCCGAAACAACAATTTGTGGATCATACAAACAGTTGCTCTATGCGGGAATCGTACCCGCTACACGTTACTCGGCAGCCGGTTACCCAGCCACCGTGCAAAACATGCAGATAATGTTTCGATGGAGTAAGATTAATACAGGCATGGTACACCACTAAGGTAATCAAGATTTTTCTGTTATTGGAATTGTTATCAAAGTTAGTCAATTTAGTTTCATCTATTTTTAATATTGTGACCTATTCACAACACTACATCATCGATCGTGTCAAGTTCTGTTATTCAATCTAAAAAAAATGTAGTCCATTAATCCGTAGTATGCGCATAGATACACGCGAGACACAATGTGTTTTCTATTCTGTCTTATAATATACAAGAGGTTAATGTCTTATGACACCAGTTTTAAAAAAGCTAAAGTTTTTAAAGTAAAATCTAAGTTAGATCTAAAATATCCCTTCAAGGAACAAAAAATCTCCAATCAGCCCATGACACAATAAGTCTATAACTTAACCCCCGCACCGACTTAGCCATTCGGCGTACGCTGTCCTCTCTGCAATTTGGCCTATTGAATTCTGTTGCAGCAACGCGTTAGTCTGTTGCATGTTGCATCGTAAGCTGTGTACGCTTTATTTGCGCTGAATAATTACAGATACGACTCGCCTTGCTACGCTCGTGTTTTGTTTAGAACTTATTTTGTACCGTGTTCATTCTTTGTCTATAGAACGGATTTACTAGTCCTGTAGAACTGGTGTTTTTTGGTGTAATAGTTAGTTTATTTTTCTTGTTTATATTTAACCGTTTGTTGAAATAAAGCTGTGTTCTATAAGGCCATTTCTTAAGCGTGTTTTAAAATAATGATTCTTTACGAATTACTTGAATTTTATATGATTTAAGTACAGAAATGAGCTGGAAAAGAACCTCTATTTTTTATCTTGTGTAAAAACTTGTTTAATAATAATAGTTTTATAAACAACATAATTATATTGTTAGGAGTAATAATAAAAAGGACCAGCTGGTATTGTTTTATTATTAACTAGACGTAGTTGTATTAACTGCACGGTTGGTGCGGTGGCTGGGCAACCGGCTGCCGTGCAACGTCGCGGATTCGATTCCCGCACGGAACAACACTTTGTGTGATCCACAAATTGTTGTTTCGGGTCTGGGTGTCATGTGTATGTGAACTTGTATGTTTGTAAACGCCCCACGACACAGGAGATAATCATAGTGTGAGGCAACATTCTTTAAAAAAAATATATAAAAAAAAGTAGATAAAAATATGTAGTTACCACTTCTACCCAATACTCGTCGATGATACATAAACAACTTAACCAACGTTAGCGTAACTCAATTACTCATATTAATCAAAGTTAAACAGCTACTCCAACTCCAACTTGTGACAGCCCTACACACAATACAGTCATAACAAAACTGACAATCTCACATTATTATTAAACCTTAATATTTCAATTCACGTACAAAACAAGTTTTACAAGTGTAATGCAAGTTTTGCGCTGTTGCCGTTCTTACACAGTAACTTATGTGGTTTTACCTTCATTACTTTGCAAGTACGTCAGAATTATAAAGTTAGACGAGTACCACTTTCGTACGAAGCTGCGCTGTTAGGGGGCTACACGCGAACTGTGGCGTTTTAGGGTTAAAAAGACGCTCGTAGCCTAGTTTGCAGTGAATTTACTTAATTTTGTTTGCGAAATTATTTTGGTTCTAAGAGGTAAGTTGTGGGAAATAGCGTGTAATAATGTATCTAGGGTTTTGTAAGTAGCGATACTTTTTCAATACTATTTCAGTGACAGATGATGAATTGTTTAAAATGATCATACGATGACTGCCTCGTTGGCCGAGTGGTCGCAAGTGCGACTGCCAGGCCGGGCCGGGCAAGGGGCCGAATCCCGAGTCGGGCAAAGTATTACTGGGTTTTAAAAATTCTCAGTAGTAGCACGGAGTTTGGAATTGTGCCCGGTGTATGGCAATAGGCTCACCCCCTATTACATGGGACTCATAACATAAATAGTGAAAAGTGGGTGTTACATTGTACAGTGGCATTAAGTGCCGTAATGTACACCTCTGCCTACCCCTTCGGGGATAAAAGGCGTGTTGTTATGTATGATCATACGATAGGGTCAGCTCCAAAAAATTGGAAAATCGTCCAATAATGCCACTCGGTCGAACTTAATATTTATTAGTCTAGAGGTACTACCTCTACCTACGCCTTCTAGATATGAAAAAAATAACGTCATATCAAGCTATAATATATTATGTATCTAGCTCCATAAGTACCCAAGTAAAATTATAACTATGCGAACATTCTCCTTGACGTGACCTGAACACGTGGTAGAAATTTGCGGTGACCAACCACGTCACGAACCTGTCACTTCCAGGTCACGTCTACGTCACGTCCACGTATAATGCATGTTACATCTCTGTCGTATTGTAAAGGTCATCATTGTTTACATTAAAGGTTCTTATCGTAATTAAAAATTATTAGTCGATTTTAAACTGCCAAACACAGCGAGGACACCGGTGTCCGCACACCGATTGTTCTTTAATTGTGTCTATAATGGCGATACTCAAAGGGTTAATATGTATTGTGTTCTTTTGGCTGTCTCGTTGGCCGAGTGGTTGCAAGTGTGACTGCCGGGCAAGGGGTCGAATCCCGGGTCGGGCAAAGTATTACTGGGTTTTGAAAATTCTCAGTAGTAGCACGGAGTCTGGAATTGTGCCCGGTATATGGCAATAGGCTCACCACCTATTACATGGGACTCATAACATAAATAGTAAAAAGTGGGTGTTACTTACATTGTACAGTGGCACAATGTGCACCTCTGCCTACCTCTTCTGGGATAAAAGGCGTAATGTTATGTTATGTTATGTGTTCTTTTGCTTTTAAAATTCATATTACCTTAATGGTTTAATACCTATCAAAGTTGTTTTTATATATATCAAATAAATGTGACGTTGACTTCTCCGAAACTATGTACTTATGTTTAATAATATACTAGCTTTCCGTCCGTGGATTTATCCGTTAAAGGATGAACTTCAGTCGCTATTTAAAATATCCTACCAATGAAAAGTTCAGTAACAAAGTGATAAAAGATAAACGAAAGCCTTTTATCACATACTAGATAGTGCTAGGGGCTTTGCCCGCGTTTCTATAGTGTAAAAAGTAGCCAATGTGTTATTGTAGACCATAACCTAGCCTTGTTCCAAATTTTATTCCGATCTTTTCAACCGTTCTGACATGATTGAGTAACAAGCATGCCAAAGGAGTTCTATTAAGCATTGTTAAACATGTTCAAAAATCGAACGCCTGTCTATTTGCAAGCATGCCTGAAATGAGCATGCTAATTTTAAATAACATTCCAATACATATGCTAAAGTCAAAGTCAAAATCATTTATTTCAATTAGACCAGACACTTTTGAATGTTAACAACAAAAAATTATAATTAAAGCTAGTTGCTCATTCCAATGTGTAGATTCCTATGGAAAAACGAGCAAGTAACTCCATAGGTTACTCTTTTTCAATTGGGTTTACAATACAATTATCTAGTTACACAGTTTTGTTGGTTCGATTGTATAAGAACAATGCAACACCTAAATGCAGTCAAAGAGATTGAAAAAGAAAAAGAAAAGACTACTAAGTGACAAGTGCACATTAGCAATTGTAACAGTACCTTTTTTTTAAGGGGGGAAAATCATCGAATGACTGCTCCCGCCGGCGGGAGGGAATGTCAGACTCTTACTGACTAAAAACCACCCCGTTCCTTCTCCTGCACGTCGAGCCGGAGCCCCGGTTACCCGTAAGGTTCTCCGCGACTGTAACAGTACCTTAAGATTACAAATTAATTCATAATTATCTAGTTATAATTAGTAGGTTAGTACCTACTCAACCCTATTCACCGTCACGCTACAAACATGAGTGAACATGTTAACACGTGACTCAGTTAATATTTAACTGTATTGCTTACGTAACTGTTACGGACTGATGGCGTAAAGTTTGGACTTATGCGGTTAACACCTACGGTTTACGTTTACACGTACGTTTACGTTACGTTACGTAACACGACCCGTATGTCTCAAATGTTTTGGGTCAAATTTTCAGGGGTTGGAATTGGAAAATGAAAGTTTTTATAGAGTTATTGATTGTGATGGTTGTTATTCGTTTTAAAATTTTATACCCATAATGTTGTTTTAAGAGAAAGAAGGTATTTATTAGATTTTTTTTAAGGGGGGAAATCCACGAATGAGTGCTCCTGTCTGATATGATTACTATCATCATTAACCAGTAAAGTTATAAATAGCCGCCATACTCCTTCCAGCATTACTCGATATCGTGACCCATAAAACATGACTTGGTACCATTAAACAAAGACATTTAAGAAGTCTCACTTTACTAAAATTAGATGATCATTTATTTGTTTATCTATTTATACTTTATCAATCAATTTGTGTATACCAACAAAAATTACGTTAAAGATATTAAAAAGGTACCAAACAAATTATAAAACATTAACGCCCGAATATTGAAAGGGTAGGTACTCAATTTTGCATTATAAGTACTTCAATATTACTTAGTCATTATCCGATATTTTTATTAAACAAAAAAAAACTATCACTTCACTATTAGGTTCTTTTCTCAAATGTAAACGTCTCACATCAAACGCCATGGGGATGGGGGTCACCAGTGACAGATATTAGCGGGGAATTGCCTTCAACGGTTTTGTATTGGCAGTCAAAGCCTTAATGATACTTCTGTATACTCCTACTCTGTGGCTAAACTCACATAATGTTCGACCCTCTCTTAGCCACGCCCATTTCCTTCTATAAATTTTAAATGTTCAACATAATTTGGCTAATGGACAACAATAATTTTGCATTAGGTTTGAACTTCAATCTCGGGTCTATTAATTATAATTAGCTGTAAAGAGAACTATGCAAGTTATGTAATGTTTTCTGTAGAATGATTTGTTACTGAATATATTATAACCATAGGGTCCTATTTGGAATCGAATAAAGTAATATTAGGTTGTCTGATAAATTGTGACATCAAAACAAAATAAAAGATAGGTA